GAAACATTAGATGAATCCTTGACTACTCTCTGACACACTTCATTGGTACCAGTTTGGTCTGAAGCCTTTGATAAAGGCCTCCTGGGCCCAGTACCCATGTGTGCAGGTCTACCCAGTCCATCATCCAACTCTGCATTGGCTACACTGATGGGAGGTTTGAACAGTGATTCGGGGGCATCACTGCAGAGAATAAGACTGTTTAACTGCAAGGCTCATGAATGTGTAAGACACCCTTGATGACCTGTGGCACGGTCACACCTGTATGCCCAGGCAAGTAGTGCGGTGTTGCTGTGGTGTGTGCCTGTGCGCTCAGTCGCCGGTTCCTGCCGTCAGCTGTGCACTGAAGCCTGTGCTGTCTTTCTGTGTTTCAGACACCTTCCTGCGCGCGCTCCCTCGCTCCTCGCCCTCACAGCCTGATGCCCCCCCTCCGCCAGCAGCGGCCCCCACCTCCCAGTCCCTGCTGTGTCCCCTGAGCCGCCCGGACGCCAGCAGCTTCGCCGCCAGCCTGAGGGAGCTGGAGAAGGTGAGACTGACGGCCGCACACCCCCACTGCGCACACCCCCACTGCGCACACCCCCACTGCGCACACCCCCACTGCGCACACCAACTGCGCACACCCACACTGTACACACCAACTGCGCACACCCACACTGCGGACTCCACACTCCTACTGCGCTCACCCCACTGCACACACAACCGCACACCCCCACTGCACACACAACCGCACACCCCCACTGCGCACACCCCACTGCGCTCACCCCACTGCGCTCACCCCACTGCGCTCACCCCCACTGTACACACCAACTGCGGACACCCCCACTGCGGACTCCACACCCCCAACTGTGCTCACCCCACTGCACACACAACCGCACACTCCTACTGCGCACACACCCCACTGCGCACACCCACACTGCGTATACCCCCCACTGCGCTCACACCACTGCACACACAACCGCACACCCCACTGCAGACCCCAATGCACTCGCTACACTGCGCACACCCCACTGAGCACATGCCCACTGCACTCACCCCCACTGCACTCACCCCCACTGCACTCACACCCACTGCACACCCCACTCCCCCCACTGCGCACACACCCTGATGGACACATGCACAGGAGTGCCCCTTCCTCAGTGTGTTGCTCGCAGAAAAGCATCACGCATTGGTCGTGATGTAATTAGCACTGGGCTCTCAGGGTGTCCTTGTCCTGAGCAAAGTTCAGAATCAGGGTTTGGACCCAGTACTGCTGGGTCACAGGCTGAAGGGTCCTGTTTTTTAGAGTGAGAATCCCCTGGAAACAAGCCTGTATTATTTTCTTTATTGTTTATGTAGTCAGTGGATCTCCTATCCAAGGCAGCTGACAATATACATGAAGCTTTGTATTCTGAGTGGGTATGAAGGAAAACTCCCGAGACCCACGCCCTGTGCACCCCTGCCCTGCCCTGCTCTAACCCTGCGTCCATGCCCGCAGTGTGGCTGGTACTGGGGGCCCATGAACTGGGAGGACGCGGAGATGAAGCTGAAGGGGAAGCAGGACGGGTCGTTCCTGGTGCGCGACAGCTCTGACCCGCGCTACATCCTGAGCCTGAGCTTCCGCTCCCAGAGCATCACACACCACACGCGCATGGAGCACTACCGAGGTGAGGGGGCATTCCAGGGCGCTGGGGCCTCAGGCCAACAGAGGCCTTTACCTGCTGTCTGAAAAACAACAAGCAGGTACGTTCCACTGAGAGGAGCGCTGAGGGGAAGTGGCAGGAGTCCCTGTGGGCGGGCTGACCCAGTTTGGTTCTCCTCTTACGGGAAACTGTTTCTCGTGGTGGTCTGGTCATTGTCATTGCTGGCCACCTCAGCCCCAAACCGCAGCCATGCGAGAGGAAATGGCAGCTCTGACAGAGAGACAGAGACACACACACACAGCGAGACAAGGGACTGAGCAGTGGGGAAAACCCCAGGCTCACCGTCAGTGAACCCATCCGCTGACCTGGATGGTCAAGCCACAACCAGCAGAGAGAAACAGATGAACAAGTAAAGGTTTATTCCACGCTGAAAAGAGAAGAAAGGAAACACAAGGTTTCGGCTGTGGAGCCTTCTATGGGTGTGAGAAAGACAGGGAAGTCAGCAGCTCATATTGCATAGGAGAATAAAAGTTGGGAGTGTAGAGGAGGCAGGAGCAGGGGGAGGCAGAGTCCAGAGAGGTGAAGAGAGGTGGGAAGTCGAAACCTGCAAACGAAAACAGAAACAGAAACAGATGCTGGGCTGCAGAGAGAGGCCGGGTCTGGGGTGAGCAAGTTGAGACAGGAGAGCACTGAGAAGGAAAAGGGGGTGGCAGAACTGAGAGAGAGAGACTGCAGGGCTGAGAGAGGAAGCGGGAACCAGGCTAAAAGTGATTTGGAGAGAGTTTGCAGGGATGCTGTGAGCTGATGACTCCACTCCCCTGTGGCCTGAGGTTTGGCAGTGGATGGTAATTCTCATCCAGGAAGTGATGTCGCCCTTCAGCCAGCATGGCTGAGCAGCGTAAGGTCAGGCTTAGTCAGCCCCAAGTAAACCAGCAGACTATGGCTAGGAGGTGTGACAAACTGCAGCTTGTGTCTGTGCTGTATGTACAGAAATGGGCTGAAGCTTCTAAAAAACAGAACCCATGAATTGCATGTAAGATTTAATCTTCTCTGTATAATTTATTTTAGATTTGATTCCAAATCTTTCTGCCTCTGTAGCATTCTGTGTGTGTGGCTCAGCCAGTGCTGCTCTCTGACTTTGTCGCTCCATCCCTGCAGGGACCTTCAGTCTGTGGTGTCACCCGAAGTTCGAGGACCGCTGTCACTCGGTGGTGGAGTTCATCGAGCGTGCCATCATGCACTCGAAGAACGGCAAGTTCCTCTACTTCCTGCGCTCCCGAGTGCCTGGTGAGTGCGTGGGCCTGGGCTCTGCCCCAGCTCCCCGGCTCCCATTTCACAGTCGGACCAAGTGAAAGCAGTCTAAAAACATCCAAGACCAACAGACCACAGGAACAAGGAAAATTGCTTTAAATTTCTCTGCATTAATGCACTTAAACAAAACATGTGCAGGGTAGGGTTGTGATGTCTTGTCTGCGGGGCTTCCCCCATGCCTCTCCTCTGCAGCCAGGCGGAGGTGAGCCCGCCTCACTGATCCTTGTCCACCTGTCTCCACAGGGCTGCCTCCGACTCCAGTGCAGCTGCTGTATCCCGTCTCTCGGTTCAGTAACGTGAAGTCTCTGCAGCACCTCTGTCGGTTTCGCATTCGACAGCTCGTCCGAATCGACCACATCCAGGAGCTGCCCCTGCCCAAGTAACGCGCCTCTCTCTTTCTCTGCATGCTTCCCAGCTCGGTCCTGTCCGCCTCTCAGACAGAAAGACGAGAAGGACACAGTCTGTCCTTCTCCTTTTCTCTTTGATTTCTCATTGTGCTACTCTAGCAGTCTGTGGCTGATTTCACCTCCATCTTTTAATCCTTCTTACTCATCTGAGGCTTCCTGTCTGTGGATCTGCCTCTGTTAACCTGTCGGAGAGCATTCTCTCAATAAGGAGTTCTATCTGAACAGGTCTGTGTCTTGAATCAGAAATGCATGGTCAAGTTGGTGTTTGTACATTACTGCAGCAGTCAGCCCTCATCTTAGCTGAGATAGCCTGCTCTCAACCTCAACAGGACAGCCAAGCTCTGCCATGCAGTTGTGCCCTGTGAAGCTGGGTTACCCTGTTCTGTGCCTGAATCCTGTTCTCCTTTGCACGCAGACCCCTGATCACATACCTGCGGAAGTTCTACTACTATGACCCTGAGGAGGAGATGTACCTGTCACTCAAGGAAGCGCGCAGCAGCCTGAGGGCAGAGCAGGAGGCAGAGTCTCAGACGTAGCTGCTGGAACCATGTTGGCTCAAGTAAGTGTCCATGTGGGCAAAGCCATCACAGGCTGCTGTTACCCACTGTTACCCACCTCTTCGTTCAAGCAGTGAGGAGTACGTTTGTCACAGGAGATACTTGACTTGATGGGCATGATGTGCAAGACAAGGATAAAACCTTAATTGTGTTCAACTGCAAATTGCAGATGGTGTCACAGGATTGTCATTGGAGCCCTAATATAATTCATCTAGAATTAATCTTCTTGATGTGTCTGAAATACTGACTTCTTATATTTAATCAACTCAGTATGGCCTTAGCACTTATCCTGCAATTTAGAGCAGCTGAGAGTCCCAAACAGGAATGCCTGAATCTAGTGTGTCTGTCCTTTTTTGGCTCACAGGTTGGTGTCCCTAGAGGAAGTGTGAGGGTGTAAATATCTGAAGGACAATTTTATAATAATTATTATAATGTTATATAAAGATAAACCGGCAGGAGAGAGGAGACTGTTGTGTCCGACTGTGCCAGGAAGTCCGAGAGCGAACCACATGCCTCCAGAAACACATCCTGGCCCTGAATCGTGTCTGCCCGCGTCCTTCTCTCCCAACCCCAGAGGGGGGTTCCTCCGCTGGAGCACCAGTGGTCTGGGCAGGCTTCCCACAGCGTTGCTGCTCGGTGATGGAGAGGCTGAGGTTTCAACAGAAAGACCTTGCTGCCTCCAGCTGGGGCTGTGAGCTGGCTGTGTGTCTGCACTGCGACCGAAACAGACGCGTGTTGGGCATTTATGACGGTCAGCCTGCTGACTGGGACTCAGGCCATTTCGGATGTTCTTTCTTGTTTCCTCACACGTTTGCAGAGGGGGACCCAGGGAGGATCCCAGCCCCTGGAGCAGGGCGCTCTGGTGCTCACTGCTGTGGAGCCATGCTGACACTTTTTGCTAACAAGCCCTCCAGTGGCAGACTGTCCTTGTAGTGGTCTCTCACTCTGAAGGCAGATTTCTTTAGCCATTTTCAGTCGCTCCCCTCTTTTAATTCAGGTCAGGAGGGCGCAGATGCACTTGTTTTGTGAGCACACTGTCGCTGGCTTTTATTCACATAATGTTCGGCTCTAGTTCTAAAATTAGTGACAGGTCTGTGTGCTGCCAGTGTGCAATTTTACCGTTCTGTTTCCTGTCTCTTCCAGATCTCGGGCTGTGCTGTAGAGTGTGACCGAGGCTGGGCTGTGATCTGACAGCAGGGGGCAGCACCAGCCCTGACTGATGGGGATGTGTCTCCCACTGCAGCCCAACACTGCCCCCTGCTGCCGGTCAGCACTGCTGCTGTGGTGATGGACACCCCCCCTCTTCCCCGGACTGTGGGAGTGGGGGGGTTCACTGGTGGGAGACTCCTCTCTCTTACCAGTGCAGGGGGCACTGCCACCAGACTGGAGTATTACTGAACTGGAGTGCTGTGACTGGCAAATGCACACTGGATCCTGATTTGGACACTGGAATTAAAAAATAAAAAAAGAACTGAGTTGAAAACAAACCCCAGGACTGCTGTGGATTTTGAAATGATTCAGAGCTCTAGACACCCTGCACTTCTTTCTCTCCTCAGTGTGTCCCAGGAGCAGAGGAGAGACATGGTGAGGTCAGCGTTTCCTCTCTGCACTCAGCCTGTCTGAGCTCACTCCTGTCTCTCGGGTGAATACAGCTCTCGTCATCCGACTGGTTATGGCAGCTTGCAACACTGACACACTCCCCCTGGGACACTACCTGGCCTGCCTGCCACAGCTGGGCTCTCAGAGAGGACACTGTGAGCTCGTCTGGTATGAACATGAATTCCTGAGTAGGACCCTGCTTCTTTTGGGGGTTAAAAGAGTCCGATGTGAAGCTCAATCTCACCTCAGTGCTGAAAGCCTGACGTCTCTTGCTAACGTTTGTTAGCTCTGTGTGAGAGGAGCTGTTTCAGAAGTGCTTCTACTGTACCCACTGTCTTATGGCCTGACTGTATAAAATGCAAAGGACTTCTCCTGCTGTACTAGGAGGGGGGTATGGAGCTGTGTAAGTGTCTGCTGTCTAGAAGATTTATTTTCTTATTTATTTCTTGTTCTGTTTTGTGGTGACTGATCTGTAAATAGTTGTTCTAAAGAAACCAAAAAGGAAGAAAAAAAGTGAAAGATGGGGACCTCAGTTCAGCGATGGGAGGTGGCGTGGCGGCAGTGCGTGTGAAGAGCATCGTGGGTGAGACAGGAAGCTGTCAGCATCTCTGCACCGCCCAGCAGCTCACCTGTCACTGGGGACATCTCTCCGATAGCCTAAAGTAGGCTAAAAACTACTTTTTCCTTTTTTGATAAATACATTCAAAATCACAGACTTGGCTGTGCGACAATGCACGTGTTTTATTTCCAAATAAAACAGGTTTGTTAGTCCGTTTTAAAGGACTTTGCTTCTTGTCCCTTTTTGCGTTTCCGTGTGCTGGTGTGTCCGTGCTCAGTATAGGGCTGGAGGGGGAGAGGAAGCAGGAACTGCAGCTGTGCTCCTGCTGGCTCCTCTGCAGTGCTCCCTGCTGTCGCCATGGCAACGCCCCCCCCCCCACCGGAGAGCAGGGAGGCAGCAAAGCCGGACCATCGGGGACACGTCCTGGGAGCTCACAACAGCTCAGACCTCCAGGCTCCTCCCTCCCTCGCCCCTGACCTCCCTGCGCTTCTTCATCCTCTCTCGCCTTTCCCACCTCCCCCGGCATCCTCTCTCATCCTGACCTTCAGCTCCTGCAGGCAGAGGGGTTCCCATGGTAACGGGCTGAGTCTCCGTCTCCGAGGTTCCGTGTGACAGTGGGGGGGTCCGGCGCACATTGGGAACTGCAGCAGTTGCTGTAAGCAAGTACTAGAAAGGAAACAGAACAAGCAAGACCGTTGTGTTTTTGACAGCAGTGCAGCCAGAGCTCCTGTGTCAAGAGTTTCCTGACAAACACGGGACCTGGAGGCCGGAGTCAGGAAGGCATGCTGGCAACCGGGTTCGATTCCATCCTGGGGTCCTTCTGTGGGGAGCCTGCACGGTCTTCCTCAGTCTGTGCAGGTTTTCACTGGGTGCTTTGATACTACGAGTCATACTCATCAGTGACATGCTGAGTGGATTAATTGAATGTGTGTGTCCTGTGATGGGCTGGCGTGCAGGCTGTAAAGAGGCACATGGAATGATTAAGCGATGGTAAAAAAGGTATTACTGTGAGGAGTGAGAATCGTCCTCCGTAGTCTAGTCTTTCTCACCTGTATTTTTATTTCAAAGACAATACAATTGCGAACGACGACCACATCGGATGCCAATTCATTTCAATACGGAAAAGAATAAACAAATGCATTAATTAATTTGGCATTTCCGTGTTTATTATTCCATGTATTCGTCTTCTTACAACTATAAATGCGGGGGAGATCGGAGTCCTCGGGACAGAGAGGAAAACCAAAAATCTGTATTTTCGGCAAATAGAGAGGACAGAAATAACGAGAAGTGGGAATTCAATGGGCACAGTAAGGTTAAAACACTATTTCAGGTCGCACATTAGTACGTTCACGTCAGTTAAACTGTAACTCGGCAGCACTTGCACATATCAAACGGTACACTTGTTCTTGATGCGCTACATTTCCGGGTGTGTTGTACTTTCCGGGTGTGAAGTACAAAACGTCTTGGCGGGCTCCAACCACAGGAGGAAAGCGGTGGCGTCACATCAGACTATTTTATTGTTAATAAAAGCAAGGAATTGCGAAGGGTCCAAGCTCACGACAGCAGTTCAAGAGGCCCTCGAATCAAATCGGCTGCGTCGCCTTCAGAAACCCACACGGAGCGCCTCGCCTGCAGCTCGCCCGTCCGGCTCCGCTCTTCAAACTCAAACACGGTTTCACGGGCACGGAGAGGGCCCGGTCCGGCCAGGCTCCACCTCCAGGTCATCGTCACCCCCTTCTCCGCCGGCCTCACACCGAGGGAAGACTAAGATATCTTACAAAAACTGAAAGAAAATAAATAACCCGAGCGCCCCGCTGCTACAGTTGAGTCTTCGGATTAAGATTCAGAGGGTATCTGTTGAGTCTGATTCGATGAACACCGCAGTGCCCCGGCTCAGGGGCAAGTAGCTGCTCTCTCCCGGACAGAAACGCGTTTGCGGCGCCATTGGTGCAGGATGGCTGCAGCTGCTCAAGCGCCCCGGTGCAGCTCCCCTCCCCCCGCCACAACCCGCCTTCCCCTGGCCCGGGGCGGGAGACAGCGTGTAATCAACTGCGTCATCTTCCGCACAGAACCAATCACGTTCCACTTAGTAAAGCATCCCACCCCCTCCTCTCACATCATTGGGCAGCATAGCTGTCAATCAGAATTTGAGCGACAGACCCATGGGGGAGGTGATTGGATATAAAGACTGTCGGTAAAAGGAAACGCCCGCTCCATTGGACGGCGTTCCATCAATCCATTCTTCGAGGTCCGCCTAAAAAACTCTAAAACTCGGTATTCTATTGGTCTAGTTTGATGTCAATCGACGAAACACACGGTCCTGGCCCAACCATTGGCTGGACTGTACTTCATTCACGGAGATGCCCGCCAGCTATTGGCTAAGCGCGCCGTCCGTCAGACTCCCGCCTGCTTCTGGATTGGCCCCCGCGCGCGGGCGGTGTCGCGCGCTGGCTCCCTCTCGGAGGCTCGCGGAGAGCGAATGTCGTCATGAGCGGTGGGTAGGAATTAAAACGTTGGTGTTTATATTACATTGTACTTCGTAAAACAATTGATTTGTAACAAAAACGGATACAAATTAATCCCGGGTGCATTAAAATGGGTAGAAAGAAGAGGAAGAACCTATGTGCTGGTTAAAGCGAACTGCGTTTTATTCGCTCAAGTTTCCACGGAATGAGTGTTTTTCTCGGGAAGCGCCCGCGGGCGGCCGTGCGGGTGGCGGCCGGAGCCCCAGGCCAGGGCCGCCTCTCCCTCTCCCGGCCGCGGAGCCGGCGGGCTGCGCTCTTTGTTGTGCTTGTGGGTGTTGTACCGGGCTCCATCGCCGGCCGTGCGGCTCCGCCGAGTGTCCTGCGCTCGATGGCGGCGCTGTTGCAGCCCTGGCGCGACGCTTTTAAAGGGCCCGGCGCCTCCTCGGGGGCTGACCTCGGCCGACGCATCCAGAAACACGGTTTCGGCTCCCGATCACTTTGACGGCACCCCAGTGGGTTCTCTGGCGTGCGTGGCGTGTCTGTGTTGTGCTTTCGGCTGGTACTTGTGCTCGGGTGCAAGGGGGCGGTGGGCACAGCTCCTGCCCCGGGGGCTCCGTCAGTCCCACGGCCGGCCGGGTCGGTTCAGCGCAGCGCTGGGACGCGGACACCCAGCTTGTTAAATTAGCAGCTCCGTCCCGCCTCTGAAGCAGGTACGACATGGTCTTTGGCAAAATGAGGGCTGCAGCCTGCAGAGTGAGAATTGAGTTCTGCCAGCAGTTTCAAGGGTGCCTAGCGTGCTACTGCCTTACTAACCCCAGTGAGTTTTTTTGCGAGGTGTCTGAAATAAACCATGGATAGGGTGAGGATGCCTTCACACTTGGAGCTCATCTTGGGCGGCCTCTGTCAGGCACCACATGGACGTTTGATGCAGGGACAGTGAGACTATCCCCTCTCTTGCATGTCCCCCTAGGCACTGTACACAAATTAGGAGTAGGAGAGAAATGCCCTTCTGGGCCTCTCTGAGCACTGGTCAACAGAACTTGCTCAGGCTGAGATGCACAGGGTGAGGTGCTAGAAATTAATTAATTTTTAACAAAGTGAGTAAATCTGTGGGACAGCTTTTAAGAGACCCTAAAGAGTGTTCTGATCGAATCCTATAAATGAGTTCTTACTGTTTCTCCTTTCTTGTCTCAATCTGGTGAAGTTTATTTTGCTTGATCAGAAATGTCCCGTGCCTGGAGCTGGGGCTCCTGTGCTGCAGCTGCAGTACATCTGGCTCGGCTCTGCACTCTTACCACAACACAGGAAGCTGCAGAAATCTCTTGAAGATGTTATTTCATTTCCTCTCTGCCCGACCGAGCAGTAAGATGACAGAAATGACTAAGACAAGTGAAAGAAACAAAGGGAGAGAACAGAGAACTAGTCTGCCCTGTTTCCTATGCTACAAGCCTGTTGTTTATCACTGTGCACACACACAATGTTTGTACATTTTAAAAAGTAAGCAGATAGGTTATATTTGGAATAACAAGGTAGCAAGATCAAGTGGTAGGTTCTCCTAAGAATGTCAGGTGCTCAGTGTTTGTTATTTGAGTTTAATTAAAAATTCAGAACTGAGTTGATTAGGAATCTGTATAAATAGCCATTTGGAAACACATGATTTTAGTCTACTGAAGATCAGTGAAAGATATGACCCTACCCTGCCTGAGTAATTGAGATCATCTGTTTGCTACTGTTTTGACTGAAGGCATTCTGTGTGTGAGAGATTGTAAGCTGTATTTGCTTAAGTAATCCATAGACTAGTGTACATAAACCAGGAACTGGCTGTGTGATGGACAGGCCATGTACTGGAAGGCATAAGATCACCCCACTGTTAAGCATCATTACATCCGTCTGATCCTTCTGTTTAACTGACTGCAGTGGCCAGCCACTTCCAGGAAATAAGTATGTACTGTACTTTAGCTAAATGACCGTAACCCTCTATCTTCATGAAAAATCTCTTCATGTACGAAGGCTGTTGATAGGCAAAATGGTGACCGTCTTTAATGGTGCTGAAGTGTTTTCTTCAACTGTGTGCGGAGACGTTGTGGTGAGCTTACTGATATATTTTTCAAGGCAGCTCGGGGGATGTGTAAGTGTGATGCAGGAAGAAATCGTCCGTAGCAAAATAATACTTTTCAATTGCTGCACAATGAGGAAGACTGAAAGCAGGCATGTAAGCAGGACATGGGGGTTAACACCCTTACTCTTATGAGCAGTGCCACGGGATCTTTAATAACCAAATAGTTAAGACTTCAATTTTACATTTTCTCCAAAGGATAGCCACCCTACACACTAGTCTTCCCAGTTATCATACGAGGCCATGGGTTTGGAAATTCTAGCCCAGAGGGAAGTGCGTCACCTTCAGACCTGCCACTAGCACTTTCAGCAGCTGCCTGGTTTTTCTTGGAGGCCTCCCAGCCCATTGCTAACCAGATCGAGCCTTGCTTAGCTTCTGAGATCAGGCCAGATCAGGCTACAAGTGTTGCTGTAGAACAACTGAGAGACCCAAGTCGCCTTCAGCAGAAGACCACAGTGACCAGCCAGCAGGAAGAGTGGCAGGACCTTCCACAACAGGTGTCCCGAAGCTGAGCAGGTCTGTGTTTCAGTGCGGCCAGGATCGTGTTAATACTGAAGCAAGTGGTACTCAGCACTAACTGTATTGTTTTCATCCTGACAGCATGTCCCATTTCACACTGAAATATATCATGAGTTTGCTATCTGGATTTTTGTTCACGTTTTCCTGGAATGTGCAGTATCTATTTTTAAAGTACAGTCTGCACAGCTGGGTCCTGAGGTGCTGGAAGGCGGTTACAGATGTTTGAGACTATGGAAGCTAAAGGCTTCATCGGGTTACAGACAGGGACTGGGGTTACAGTTAAGTGCACAAGTAAGAGGTGCAATGGCTGATTTACTGATGCTGTTTGTTACAAAATCTGTTGTGAGCAGGAGTTACACTGGAAGCTGAGTAAGTTTGTGTCGTGTGTTCCCAGACCAAAAGGACAGTATGGCCGCCACAGCAGCTGTTAGTCCCAGTGAGTACCTGCAGCCCTCTACCACCTCAGCACAGGTAAGCACAGACATTTTCCTAATGAATGATGTTTTGATATATATCTGAATATCCAAAAAATACCACAAAGAAATCCATTCATCGCTATGTATTAATGAACATATTTGGAATATTTAGACATCTCACATTTCTAAATATTGTTTAAAATATTTTCAAATAATATTTAGACATTTCACCACATACACGTAAAAAGCAGTGAAAATATCTCATTCTGTTTGGTAGGTATTAAGAGTTTAATCTGTTTCTCTGTGAATTAGAAGTCTTGAGAAATGCAAGCTGTATTGAAAAAACAACGTTTCTTTTTGTATATAATTTTACCATCCATATAAAACATTTCTGTAAAAAATATCATCATAATCTGAGCTATGGCTGTGTACTTTCTTCTAGTTTTTTTTTGTTTATCTATGAATGAAAAATATATATATACTGTTATTAGGTTCTAGTTATTAATCAAATGTGAGACATAATTTAACCAGCACAGATCTTTATGATATAATTATATTGGAATCGGTGCTTCTGCATTGTTCTACCTGTCACTTGTAAACCACTGTATACACTGCCCTGGATAAGACTGTCTGCTTTGCAGTGAATCTATTAGCACTTACAATACCATTAATGAGATTCAAACTTACAGGCTGTTTGTAGAGTATTGTATAGCCCTGAATAAATATGTAGTGACAATACCTCTATAGAGTAGATGCTTCTAATAAAAATGATTTTTATTTATCATGGTAGAATAAAAGCTAAGGGGGTTGCAAAAGAAAAATGCCCTCAGCATGATCAGAGGAATTAATCAGAGTGTTCCTCGTCGACAGCTGTGATTTATACCCACTGATGAGACAAGTGTCCTGGGATGATGAACTGCTTTTTTCTGTACAGTGTTGTGTATAAACTTCAGTGAATTACTTCTAAAGCATTATAGATATATGTGGATAAATGTCCCTTCTGCAGTGTCTTCTGTGTACTTTCATAGTTAAAGAAGCTGAAGTTGTATTTGCATTACGTTCTTCAGCACAGTCAGTTCACATCCTCTTATCTGTTTAAGGAGGAGAAAGTAAAAGTGTTTGGCTGCTACACCAGCGTTCTTTGCCTGATCTTTGACATTTATTCCTCAGCCGGACTCCCAGCCCTCTCCCTTGGCCCTCCTGGCAGCCACCTGCAGCAAGATCGGCCCGCCTGCCGCCCAGGCCCCGGTGAGCACCGCCCCTGCCCAGCCTGCCACACGCAGGCTGCAGCCCATCAAGCCTGCGCCCATCGCTCCTGCGCCTCCCAAGAACATTGGCTTCCTTTCGGCCAAGGGCAACATCATCCAGCTGCCAGCTGGGCTGGGCTCCTCGAATCCGGGCACTCCACTGCTGCTCACCATCCAGAACCCGGCCGTGGTCAACAAGGTGGGCCGGCCCAGTGCTAACATCCAGTACCAGGTGGTGCCGCAGCTTTCTGGGAGTGCTGGGCAGACCATCCAGGTGGCTGGAATGCCTCAGAGCGGGCACAGCCAGATCCAGATCATCCCAGGAACCAACCAGGCCATCATCACCACGCAGCCTGCCCCTGCCACTCCCGCTGCACCGCAGAAGGCGGTGGCCATCAAGCCCTCTCAGAAGAGGCAGAACAGCACTGCCAACATCGTCCGCCTGCCGGGCGGGCTGACGCTACCGCTCAACGTGACAGCGGCAGAGGCCGCGACGCAGATCGTGGCCGAACCTGAGCCCGTGTGTCCCGCGAAATTGATACGCAGATCCCGGAAGAAGCTGGCAGCTGCAGCAGCACCCCAACACCAGCCCCCCCCACCCTCCGTTGCTGTAGCTGAACAGGTGGAAACCCTGCTTATAGAGACCACTGCAGACAACATCATCCAGGTAGGCCTGTTTACAGTACTGGGTATGTTATCATTACAGTGATGCACCAGTGCTGTAATATTCTATATATATGAGTAATATTCTCATTAATTTGATTTGTCTGATAGATTCTTCAGAGTTGACCTGTAAGAGTTTCAGTGAGAAATTGACTGACCATGTGCGATTTTGCCTCTCGAAGCCCCCCTCTCTGAGTGCCTGTGTGTAACCCTGGCTCTGTGCTGTGTCCCAGGCAGGCAATAACCTGCTGATCGTGCAGAGTCCGGGCTCAGGCCAGCCGGCTGTGGTGCAGCAGGTCCAGCTGGTGCAGCCGAAGACTGAGCAGCCACAGGTGGTCCAGATCCCACCGCAGGCGCTGAAGGTGGTGCAGGCTGCCTCTGCCACGCTCCCCCCTGTCCCACAGAGACAACCCACCCCGAGTGTGCAGGTCACCCCAGCTGAACCCACACAGGTGTGCTCACACTGCCTTTACTGCACAATACTAAAAGTCAGTATTGTGTTACAGCCATATTGTCCAGAAATCTTTGAATTGCACAATTTCCATCTAAAATCTTACAATCTTTAATGGAATACAGAACTTTATATGTGAAATATCCCTTTGTTTCCATTTGATTATAGTATGGACGAAGGCAGGTTTGTTGTTTGCTGGAGTTGCGATGGTGACCACTGAATTGAGAGTGACCCTTAGCTCAGATAACTAAAATGCATTTCTGAGTCTTTACATCGCAGAGTAATGTAAAACGCTCCCTTCCCAGGTGCTAATCAAGACCGCGTCAGGGGAGTGGCAGGCAGTCCAGTTACAGGAGACCGCACTCACCCCAGCAGCAGCCTCCTCGAGTGCTGGGGGGTGTGTGTCAGCCAGCCTGCCCTCAGCGGGTGGCAAGAAGGGGGCGACTGCAGGACGTAAGGAGAGGACACTACCCAAAATAGCCCCAGCAGGGGGGCTGATCACCCTCAACACAGCCCAGCTCTCCTCTGCAACGCAGGCAGTGCAAACCATCAATATCAACGGGGTGCAGGTGCAGGGCGTTCCTGTCACCATCACCAACGCAGGCGGTAAGGGCTAAGCTGCTCCACTGTCTGTCTATCTGAGAAACACGGACTTGAACCACGCGCGCCTTGTGAGGCTCCGATTGCTGAGTGTTTGTATGGATGTTTCCATCCCTGCTCTGTGTGATTCAGGCGGTGTGTGCGTCTCTCCCCTCAGGCCAGCAGCACCTGACTGTGCAGACGGTCCCGGGAAGCGGGCTGGCGATCAGTGGGGTGAGCCCGGCGCAGAGCCACCAACTCCAGGTGGAGCACACCCTGGCGCTGGAGATCCAGGGGCAGCCGGGCGAGAAGAAGCGCCGCATGGCCTGCACCTGTCCCAACTGCAAGGACGCTGAGAAGAGGCAAGTGGCCATTGCTAGCAACGATGAGAACAACCCTCGTTTCCATGTCACAGAGCTCCCAGGAACTGTCCTGAGGATTAGCACTTGAATTTCCTCTGTTGTAATGCATAGCTTTCGCATTTCCCAGTATTTCTTACCTTAATGCTTTCTGGTGCCAGCCCTCTGTGGTCATGTTTGTCTGTGTGACCCTGGCTGACTGTCTCCTCAGGCCAGGGGACATCGGGAAGAAGAAACACATCTGTCACATCCCCGGGTGCGAGAAAACCTTCCGGAAGACCTCGCTACTGCGGGCACACGTTCGCTTGCACACGGGAGAACGGCCCTTCGTGTGTAACTGGATGTTCTGCGGGAAGCGCTTCACACGCAGTGACGAACTTCAGCGGCACGCCAGGACACACACAGGTCTGCATCCAGGGCTCAGTGCAAACCACTGTAGACATACTGTACCGCTGTCACAGCACTGGGTAATAGAGCTCTGTAGTAACAACACCTAGCCAGTAACACACTGAAGTGGTAATCGTCCACAACACACCAGGAACACTAGCAATCATTTCCATGTCTTCACAACATGGAAAAGACAGTGTACGGTGATACAAGTGTCAATATCACAGAAAACACTGTGCAGTGTGTTTGCAGCATAAGCAAATCCACATTGAAGAAAGGCTGTTCAGCTTTTCATGCTGTCTCACTTGGTGACTCCTCATTAGACACTTCAGTTGCCACATGAACTTATCGTCATGTGCAGTGTGTTTGTTGCAATGACTGAGGGTCCAGCTCTTCTCAGAAAATGCTAGCAGGCCGAGGCCACGTCACTGTTTTCACCTGTCCCACTTGGGGCAGAAAGGTCATTAATCATCAAATGGAGGAACTGGTGCAGTTTTTGCTTGAAGTTTATTATACAACACTTTATCATTCGCTTTAGAATAAAACATGGCTGGGTTTGACGGGTTATTGCTTGGATGGTAATCAGGGTCCAGTGGGATCTACATTAATGCTGGACTGATTTGTTAGGACTCAAGAGGGGTTCAATTAATGGGTAGTAAGAAGGAAACAACGTCAGGAAAGTCAGGGCTGGGCAGGTTACCTAGTCTTCTGGTCTTTTAATTTAGGAGACCGCCGGCAAAAGCAGGATGTAATAACAGACCTTGGGCTGGCAGTGTTCAGGTGTCTGCACTAAAGGGCAGGGCTTGTGGGTTCAGATCCCCAGGCAGGTCACAGCTGCTTTAGCCTTGAGCAAAGTGCAATACTCAGATGACTTAAACAAACCCACCCAAAGAAATAAAGATCCTTTTTTAATACTGATGACCCCGACTGGTTCACTGTGCTTGGATGAGACTGCAGTGTGCTGTTGTTATTCTTCCTGTTCCTGTGCTTTATTGAGTTGTTGTAATTCTTAACACCCACCTGATGAATATGATAAGTCTGTTCTGTGAAAAGCAGAGATGTCTGAAATAGTGCTTTCAGTATTGAAATATTTTTTTGTTGTCTTTTTCTGCAGGAGACAAGCGTTTTGAATGTGCACAATGTCAGAAGCGCTTCATGCGGAGTGACCATCTCACTAAGCATTACAAAACACACATAAACACCAAGAACTTGTGAAAGTAATTTTACACGTGTGTATATTTATATATCTACGCATTGATATATACACACATTTAAAAAACTGATACTGAACTGGGGGACGTGGCAGGAAGAGGACGAGTTAGTTTGCCTTGTGGACCTTGTCCTGGGAGGGCACCATGACCCCACACCCACTCATCCCGGCGCCACAAGAGACCCTAGCACACTTTCTTTCCCTGGGTCTGGAGATCTTACGTTTGACTTTTTTATTAAATCATTTGGATGTATGAACATGAGTGTGGACAGACTGTGCACTCTGGGACTGTTTCAGTAGCCTTTGTGTCTGTAGCGCCTGAACCCGCAGGGAAACGGGGGTTCAGCTCAGAGATGGGGCGTTCTTAAAGAATGCTTTTTAAATCAGTTCAAAACTGATATGTTACACTTATGAGATCAAACCCTTTTTTTTCATCAAAGAAGAGGAAAAGTTGTTTTTAATGTCCTTTCTGAAGAGGAAGACTTGACACCCCAAATGTAGAACGGGCCAAAGGCTGAAGGATGCTGTTTTTAATCTGTCTTTTGTAATATATATATAGGGCGTTAGACTGGAATGATGATGAGCATTCGGGCTGTTCTGACTGGGTTTTGAAGGATGAGAAAGCTGTACAGTTTAATTGAAGTGTAATGTTGTAAAGCTCATTCCTTCTTTTTTGAGAAACTGAAAAACAGAACCTTAGAGAAACTTTGTTCAATATATAAAGTTGCCTTAGATGAATTGCACCCAGTATTAAAAGAGATTGTCTGTTGTGAGGAACTGCTTTTATAGGTTTATTTTTTCTCTAACATGGTAAGAAAGCTTTCTCTGCAGAGTGGATGTGAAGCCACAGACTTTCTATTTAACTACTTTCCTCCAGACTGAATACAAGAAGGGAGTTTCCAGGCAGTTGAAAGGAAATATGGGACACTAAGTATTTGTAAACATTTTTTCAATAAGATGATTGTCCCTCAGGCCTTCAGAAATAAGCATCTGACATCAATTACAATCTTTTGGTGCCAGTTTTCCAGTTCAGTGGGTATTATTCTAGGTTTTATTAAATGTTTGTCCTTGAACTATAGTTGTCTCAAGGAAGGGGGTGTCACTGGCCTCTTAATAAATATTATTCAGACTTAACTCACACCTGTCCTTCTTAAAATACATTAATTTATTATATCTGGGTTTAACTAGTCCTCAAAACAGTGAACACGTCTGCTCTTTCTTGTGCAATGCTCAGTCAGAAGGATTTTACTATAAAAGAAAAGGCTTCAGATTTCAATGCAGTCTTTGTTTTCATCTTGGTTGTGGTTAAAAAAATAAAACTTGAATCATTTAACGCCTCTATGGGTTCCCACAGTCCCCTTCGCAGTGAGATGTCTGAGTTGAGTTGTTTCAATGGTGATTTCAATAAATATACAACTCATGCAGCTGTAAAAAGGAAAGGCAGCAGATGTTCGTCAGCTGCTGTTAAATGGCTCTAAGATCTGGTGTTGAGAATCGCTGGAATTAAACACTGGGACCAGATTTAGTTATGTGCAAGCAATAAAAGTGGATTTAAAATAAAACTTGCCCAGAACTATTAAAAGTAGTGCAAATCAACTTGAGCAGAAACATAAGCACTGATGGGTGTTGCTTTTTAAAAATATTCAGTATTTTTAAACCTTTTTAAAAAGTTCTGACTTGTAGTGGGAAAAGCTCTCTGAAAGCCTGTTCCTCTGACTATAACTGCTCTTTTATTTACTTTAAATAAAAATGTACTTTTATTTGCACTGTAAAGACGCCTGTATAGACCCAGCAGGGTTCTGTGTGTCCAGTTGTTTGTGAAGAGGGTCAATAAAATCAGGGTAGGGTTCAAGTGTCTTCACCATTCAGGAAGTAATATACATGCCTCCATTTTCATGGCTGTAACAGAAAATACACTTTATGAAAGAGCTCTAGTTTAATTCTGGAACATGCTTAAACTGATATGTCTATTCTAAATCAACAACTGATCTCTATCCCCATCATCGGGCTGTTGCATAAATACACAAGGATGGTACTGTAAGGGAAATTGTTTACCTTTATTTTTTTCCTTGGAAATCTACATTGTGTTTTGAATTATTTCGCTGTATATAAAATGCAACTAACTAAACCCTGAACTATATAGTCACTGAACTAATTTTCACTCCTGCAATTTATACAACAGGTTGTTAATTCATTTTTCATTGTTCTTTCCTACCAGCCAATTGAGAATAGTGTTGCTACCCAAATAAAACAGCTGCCCGTTTGCCACTGTTTCCAGTGTGGTTTTGGACCAACCATTGACAATGCAGCTGAGTGATTTCAGTGTTTTGAAAAAAAACTAAAAGCATTATAACTTTCATTGTTAGTGGGCAGTGGGAAGCTCTTTCAGGGGTAACAGTAGTGCTCCTAGGGTTTATAATGTAGTTCCTGGGTCATGCCTGGTGGGAACCGCGCACTCACTCAGCATAGACTGGAGCCTACATCATAAGCTGGAGGGTCCTGCTGTCCCAGTTACTGTAAAAATTCTTACATTGTAAAAATCCACTGTAAACAAGAAAACATTCAGCTGTAGTGGAATGGTAAAAGTATAGCATCAAAAAATAAACTTGTTAATTTTATTTGTGTCGGATACGTCTGGCCAGGGTGTCTTAGGATATAGAAAGTTTGCAGTGTGTAAGTACACGGGACAAAAGTGTTGGACAAATCGGTTAAAATGAAATCCAATAAAAGAGCACAGACCTGGATTACAGAAAGTTCTGCACAAGTGAAAAACGCTAAAATTAGCAATGATCAGAGTGTACAGTCCAAGAATGAAAAACAAAAACGAGGATGGTTGTAGAATGCCCCCTTCTGTGGCTGGGAGGAGGTGAAGGAGAGTAAAGAAACTGAAGACAGGCAAGAGCGCAGCGGTTGAGCCAGCGCTGGGCGAAAACTGCAGTTGTGCCTCTGATGTGTACGGTGACAGGCCAGTGCAGGCGCTGGGGTAGAGGGGCAGCGCTGCAGAGGTCAGGGTGACACAGGGGGCAGTTGGAGTTGGCAGGGGTGGCGGGAAGAAGAGGAAGGATAATGGAACAGAGGACAAGGACGAAGAAGGAAAAAAAGTCCAGCCTGCAAGTGGTGGAGTTTAATGAGGAGAGGAATATCAGTGGGAAGAAAAGGGGTTTCATTTCATTGCAACATCTGCATGATAAATAATACAAAGAGCCATAAGGGATTATGACCAATCCCGGGAATTTGAAATAGATAACAGTGATGCACCATCTTTAAGGCAGGACATTGAGGCAGCACAAACTGATATCCATACTTGTGTAAAACAATGTAAACCTTAGATTTCTCTGAAGTCTCCAGTAAAATCCTGTTTCAGAGCAACGTCCCTTCTGTCCCCTGGCTGGATCTGCCCCTGAGCATCTGTCGGCTGGTCGGGACTGCTATGTTAGAGAGCAGACTGAGCCCTGGGCTCTTCTGTTTCCTGGTTGTTCCACCACTCGGTGTGCTCTGTTTCTTGGTGCTGTCAGACATCCTGCTCGCTTTGGCGATGCCTGCTCTAGCGCCTCCTCCTGCCTTTCCTACTCCTGGAGCGGGGCTTGCGTGTCCGCTAGCAGCCACTCTGTTTGGGGGGATGCTTTTGGTTCTTGTGCTGGCTTCAGCAGCGGTGTTGCCCAGCCTGGGTGGAGCTGTGTTGGCAGGGCCTGCTGCTGCGCTGCTTGACCTTGTCGCAGGAGTCCGAGTGCAGCTGGGTGTCCTCTTCGTGGTGCTCAGCCTGTCTTTCCTCCCCCGAGGGGGCTGCAGGGGAGGAGTGGACTTCTTCCTGCTGGCGTCCTCGCTGCCTGGGCTCTGGCTGTGCTGACTGGCAGCAAGCGTGGCCACCGGCTCTGGGGGGGCTGCGGCTGCGGGTGGAGGGGTGGCCTCACTGCTCCTCAGGGCCAGGAGCTCCTGCAGCCGGTCCTCATGCTCCGAGGCTGCCCAGCTCACTCGGCCCCAGGACCGACGGGCCATATCCTCCCGCAGCGCCCGGAAGAACTCTGCACAACACACACACGCGACTCGAGCAGCCCGCTGAGGGAGCCCGAGCGGCCAAAACACATCCTTTGCTCTGTGCAGTAGATTTACTCATTTATTTTTAATCTTATGAACTAAATAAATTACTAAAATATCCTAGTCTTGAGTTCACATTAATATATATGACTGTATTAAAACTTAAAAACAAGCATGGTTGTGTGGCTTAATGTGGCTTGAGTATCTTACAAACTGGCCCTTTAGATTTGCATTCGTCTTTTTATGTGTCCATAAACTTCCAGCTATGAATAATAAAAAAGCATTCAAGGGATTTAAATGAGGATGCTGTAAATGGCAAAACAGTATTATAAAGAGAGGGTTAAATCATTTTAAAAGGCAGAGTGTCGCTTGATTAATCAGGATGGGTTCACTGCTGGGGAGGAGGGGAACATGTGCCTCACCGTGTATGCTGTCCAGGGACCAAGGAGTGAGAATGCAGTAATCTTCCTCCTCCTCCTCCTCTTCACCCTCAAGGTCACTGCTGTCCTCCTCGATGCCCGTCTGTCCCGGGACCTCCTGCCCGTCCAGCTCCTTCAGGTTCGGCAGCCCAGCCCTCACAGCTGCCCTACAGACCGACAGAACCGAGATACCGAGGGCTCACTGGCACAGCTAGGGTTGAGACAAGCCACCAGCAATAATGAAAGGGATCTGAAGTTTCCTTAACAGAGACGTGTGCTGACTAGCGTGTGTTGTGTGTGTAGATCTGCCACCAATGAGACCAGACCGAGACAAGGGTGTGCATCTCCATCATCACTCCAGGCTTACCGGTAGCCGCTGTGCTCCACACAGGGATTGCCCCTTAGGCTCAGGATCAGCAGGCTCTGGGGCAGGCCGTCTGTAGGGGCAGACCAAAGACAGGCATGGGATAACTAAAGGAAGTGCAGGCAGCCAAAGGCTTTTATCAGAGGCCCCAACTTGGCACCAGAGGGATTGAGGGCCCTTATTCAAGGACTGTTTTTTTTTTCAGTAAAGCTTTTAGCAGAACAACAGAAGTGAATGCAAAGTTCCAAAATACAATACACCACCATAATTTGAAGACTAAGGGTCTTGCAGCTGTGAAGTCAGGTACTGTACCAAAGGGCTGGAGCTGCATGGCAGGATGGCTCTGCCCCAAAGGGGAGATCACCAGACCTCAAGGGGGACCTGCCCCTTTATCAACCTCCGCCAGCCTGTGCCAGAAACCTCTCCTCTCCTTACCCAGGTCCAAGTGCTGGATGAGGTTGTCGGAGAGGTCGAGGAAGCCCAGCCTCTTCAGACACTGAAGATTTTCTATCCTTGTGATTTTGTTGCCAGCAAGGGTGAGAAACCTGGAGGAACGAGAACAAGTTCTGTCTGCGTGATGAACTTTCTGCTGTTTGTAATGGATGTCCTACTAGCACGGCCTTGACAAATGTTCATCAGCTTAACATGTCTGAGCTTGTGCTGATCAAAAGGGCAGGAGATCTCTCTTAAAACAGGAAAATATAAACAGCCTTAAACTTTGATTTCTCCAGCAATGAGTCTTAGCAATGTTCTATGGTAAAGAATTTACTGATGTGTGTATGATAAACATCTCATTCTGATCTGATGTTTTTAACTTGTATAGAAGTATCTAAGAAAGGTGACTATTTGGCCTATCTCACTCTTCTGCTTATTAGTAGCCCCAGTATGCTGCCTTCATCTAGCCATTTCCTGAAAGTTATCAGAGGCCATGTTTGTTGTTAATACATAGAGTATATTTTCCTTCCAGAGCCACAGACGGACAGTGCTGCCCACTAACATTCTCCTACAATGCTAATGAAAGGCACCACCAATAAACTCTTACCTTAAACTAGACAAACAGTCCAAGTTTTCAATTTTCTTTATATTGTTCTGCAAAACAAACACCAATTATTATTCTGTCCCACCTAATGCAGTAGTATTGGAAGAGACTGTTTCCAAAACAGAACACTGAAATGAGGTCTAGTAAGGACCAGGTGGCGTTTCACTGATGGTACTGTAAGGTATTTGGCAGTGTTTGACAGCACTGGTACAGTGCTCCTGATACTACATTGTGCAAGCCCAGTTACTGTGACTGGGATTCCCCCAGTGGTGATGGATGGGTGGGGTGGAATAAGTAGGCCAGGGATTTTTATGACTCTCCTGCGACCCTTGCTGGCTCCTAGACTGGAAACAGATGTTCATCCAGGGGAAGTCCCGGAAGACAGGAGACCCAAGCCTCACTGCAGAGGTACAGGCCACGCCCCAGCCCCTCACCTGCTGCAGGTAGAGGCCACATCACCGCCCCTCACCTGCTGCAGGTAGAGGCCACGTCACCGCCCCTCACCTGCTGCAGGTACAGGCCACGTCACCGCCCCTCACCTGCTGCAGGTAGAGGCCACGTCACCGCCCCTCACCTGCTGCAGGTACAGGCCATGCCCCAGCCCCTCACCTGCTGCAGGTACAGGCCATGCCCCAGCCCCTCACCTGCTGCAGGTACAGGCTACGCACGAGCCCCAAGCACTCCAGGTTCCCAATGGCACTGATGCTCTCCCTGTCCAGGCGCACTGTCTCCAGGTCTTGCAAAGCCTCCATCCTGAAACACAGCCAAGCTGTCACTGCAGTGTTGCTGCAGTCATGCTGCCTCATATTTCCTTATGGAACAATATCTCTTCTCCACAAGATGGGAAGCTGTGAGCTGTTCCAGTACACAGCACAGTCCTCAGACAGAAGCAGGTGTGCACAGAGAGTCTTCCCAGATGGTTGGATCTGTGTTTCTTTTGGCCTGGGCATCACATTTGTATATCTGAAATGGATTTATCTTGGAAGACTGTTCTAAACGTTTTGTAGAGATCGCATGTGCAATGGCAGATACCTGCCAGACTCTGTTCCACAGTGCGGTCTACACCGACTCTATTACAACCTGCACATACAAACAGAAAATAAATGTTTCGATTTGTTGTTTTTTGCTATAGTTGCCTGAATGGGCAAGTTTTGATCATTTTATTGATTTATTACTGGAGCATAGTCCACTTCCTTATCTTCGATCTTACAAATGAGACCATCTTACTACGATGAAGACCAGACTCCACCCAGAGTGTCCTGTGCACAGCACATTTGCCCACTACACTTTATTAAACACCTGTCTTTTCACTTACGTTTCTGATTAACAACTTAATGTTACTTTTGGTTTTAAAGTCATTTTTCTACAGCTTTCCCCCACTTTCTTTATGCTTCTGTTGTGTATTATAGACTGATTATATATAAGATTATAAACAAAAGAATTCTGGTGTTGGACAACTTCTGTGTTTCCTAAATAGTACATGATAAAATTATATTATACATTTAAAAAATCACCAAAAAAATAAAAATAACTATATTTAGTTGAGTTTTTCAAAAGAAAAAATGTATATTTTCTAAATTTCCTTTTCAGACGTTTTCATTAGAATAAAAAGTAAGAACATTTCGTCGTGGCCAGAGAAGCAGCTCTCTGCCGCCCCCTGGCGGAGGCGCTGTACTCACAGGTCCCGGCTGCAGCGGGGGGCCGGGCGCTCGCCCAGGTGGCGCTCGGCGATCAGAGCCGCCGATATGTAGACCTGCTTGTCCGCTTCTCTCCCGCTGCGATCTGCGGGGACTGAGAGTCACTGCGAGGCTCCCTGAGATCCGGTATCCCTGTGCTGCACTTACTAAAACAAGCCCTATCATGTCTGGAAATAAAGTAGATTCCGGCGTCGTGTCCAACTCGGCATCCCCTCGGAAATTTGTAGCTCCTTCCGAAATGCCCCTGTGCTGCGAAAGCCACCCCTGCCTCATCTCTCGGGAAACGCACTGTCATCGATTCTTACAGTTTATATGGAAAAGTCACAGATGCACAGAGCCTGTGTGCTTTCACACTGAACGACATCCGTTAGTTTTGCATTTATTTTATAAGTATATACAGAGTGTTCGACTGTTATCATAAAACTAGGCTAAGTGATATTTCTCTTACGTCAAGCAAAAAAAAGAACTTTAGTTATAAAACATGCTTGTATCAGGTTTCTGTGTTCTGAGCTGTAGACGTTTCCAGAAGTATATTCATGTATCGACTCCGCCTTGCACAACTCTTAATTACACACTTAACGAGAAAATAAAACTATTATATCATACCTCCTTCCATGACGGGTGGCTGGTGTCTGTGAAGAAGCCGCAGGCCTAAATGCTCCGGTTGCTAGGATACAGGTCGGAGCGCTTAACGTTCAGATAGATTCCACACCTTGAGAAAAAACAGCAGCGCCACCGTGTGGCTCGGCAGGTCCAGGGGATGGACAGAAAAATGGATTGTAAAAGAGTTGGGGAACATCAGGCACTGTGGTCAAGAAAGCTGTTCCCCCTGCCTGACATGAACCTGACATGAAGACAGACACACGTTGCTTCTTGCACAAGCTGTACTTTATTTGTTTGTTGCACAGATGTTCCAACTAGGGATGTTGCCTGGACAGCAGGGCAGAGCAAATGAATTAACTACACACTGCAGACTACCACTGACACATCACAATGCTCAGGATTAAAGTTCACATGGTTGTTTTCTTGATGAAGAAGCCTAGACGTGATGTTAAGGACTGGAAACCTTAGGACACACTGTTAGGTCTCTGGAACCCTGTGTTTCATATTTTGCACAGCAATGTGTTGATACAGAAAAGTGAAGCACGATGCACAAGTTGCACAACAGCACCACCAGCAGGGGGAGCCAGTCAGACCTATATGAACACACCTCTGTGCTGGAATAACTCTCCACCCACGATGTTCTTGGTGGCATTTCACATTTTCTTATCCCCAGAGTTTTGTATTACTCTGGATGGGATGGAGCTTGAGTGATGCAGCAGGCCAGCAGAAGCACCGATCTCCCTGCCCGTCAGTGCTCCTGCTTCTCGGGGACAGGTGGTGACAACAGTGTGGCTACAGAGAGACTGTTTATAGGGGAAAAGAAAACCCCCAAATTCTAGATCTGAAAAGGTATCAGATTGTTACCCACTGAGCAAGAATCACACATCCTACACCTCAGCCATATGCTACAGGTGTATTAAATATCCACAACAGATGTATCATATTAAAAGACAGGCTTGCATTCGCTGGGTCCTTTTGATGCTGTTAATTGCTAATACTTAGAAACAGGCTTCTGCTTGCTGCACTGGATAAGAAGATTCTACCCCTGCCTCTAACTGTATCTGCTTGGCTGTGCTGGTAATTGTGTATGTACTGGGAATGCTATTCAGGCTGTGGATCAATGGTGCTGTCTGAAGTCCGTGTCCCAGAGCTGCAGGGCTGTAATACTCCATCAGGGGGCACTGAAAGAGAATAAAATAATAACAGCTGGAAAAGCTGCAACAGCCAACAGCACATTGCAGATCTTGCTCTGTCTAGAACTATCTGCATTCGTTTTCTTTCAGTTTTATAATAGTGATTTCAGGCAATTGATTTGAGGCAAGTTTCCCCATAGTTTTACTATTTGGTGTTCCTAGACTTTCATATTTTCCAGTATAACATAGTTCAATGTCAGAACACCTCATGCAAGTTAAGGGAGCCCTGTCCAGCTTTAAAACTACTCCCTTA